GAGAGAGAGAGAGAGAGAGAGAGAGTGGTGAAACACCATCTGCCAGAACAGCTTTAAATTCCTGTCAAAGATTTTATAAAACTGTAACAAGGTCTAGCATATGTGGTGTAGCGATAAGGCGCCCACTTGCAGCACGCAGGAGACCCGAGTTCGATTACCGAGTGGAGAGAAAAGTTATATGGAGTATCTCGGTCTTTCTGCTTGGATGATGTATCCCTCTCATCTCGGGTTGACACTGACAGGCAGGGGCGAAAACCCGCGTCCTAAATGATCTAAACTGAGTCGATTTGGGAGTAAAAAAAAACTCCATTAAAAAGAAATGTGTTATGTTTCAAGGGAATGTGAGTAAAAGGGTTCTTTTTTGGTCCCGAGTCCTGATGTCGGTGTCGATATTTGTAGGTTATGTAAAAATGTGAGAACATGATGCTGATTGTTAGGCTTCAAGGAAAGAAACAAAACAAGCAAAAGGGGAATTGATTGGTCTGTGAAGATGCTGCTGCTGTTGCTGCTGCTGCTGATGATGATGGTGATGATGATGATTATGATTAATGAAAGGGTTTATATGATAATGCTGATGTCATCTTTTTCAGACATCGACGGAGACGGAATGTATGACGAAGATTGTGACGAGCCGCCAGGTATTCCTACTTCCGAAGTTTTATCTTAAACGACAGTGCAGTCGAATCTTGTCTAACAACAACCTGTATAAGACAATCACTTGTACAAACGGCCACTTCCCATATCGGTCTTTGAGTATTTCTTTCACATTATGACGGCACTGTGTAAGACGGTCATTCTTCTTCCTAACAAAGGGTGGTCGTATTAAATAGTTTTGGCTGTATACACAGTTTTGACGAAATAGAGTTATGGATTCCACCTGGTAGTTTAAAACACGGTCTGTATTTCTTCCTTTGTTTGGTATCAATATTTTAATAAATAAAGGCGGGGAAGGTGAACTGAAGGAAAGTATATTCATAAGGCGATACCTTCTCTTTTTCTGTATTTTAAAAAAGTAGAGTATGTGCGGAGCTGTTTGGGTTGTCTTTTGTAGGAGTAAATTACGGCTCTCAGCGTTATCACTTTTTCATAAAGACCGTATAATATGCGATCTTTTTCAGTCAATACTAAAGTTTTGCACAAAATGAAATATATGAAAAAAAAACCCCATAACATTGACCAGCTGTTCACATGTAATAGGACCAACATTTTAAAAACATTTACTATAAGACAGGGCCTACATCGTTGGTATCTACACATTTTTTTAAACAAATAAAACAATCATTAATTACTTCCAAAAAAACATTGTTCTTTCTGGGATAAAAACGTTGAACATTTGGACAGCTTTCGGCGTTGAGATACCAAGGCTCTTGACATCGCTTGCCAGCGGCGTCTTCCTTCTGAATTTTTTTTCTTGTATTTTTTTCTAGGGGGAAGGGGGGTGCAATTATCCTTGAAAATACAGCTCTGTGTTTGATGTGCTGTGTTGATAATAGACGTAATGTTCTTTTCTTGAGCTTCTAATTAGATTAATATTGCTGATATTGTTGTGGGTCGGTACTGCTTTTGTTGTTCTTATTGCTTCTGCTGCTGTTGTTGTTGTTGTTGTTGTTGTTGTTGTTATTGTTGTTGTTGTTGTTGTTGTTGTTCTTCTTCTTCTTCTTCTTCTTCTTCTTCTTCTTCTTCTTCTTCTTCTTCTTCTTCTTCTTCTTCTTCTTCTTCTTCTTCTTCTTCT